TGAGAAACAGTAGTTTCACCGTTTTATATTTTGTTCAATAAAGTCTCCCATTATTTGGTAGCAATAATTTTTTTTACTTACCCTCATGTACATCACTTGACAACTTGCTTGTCTTTTTAATGTACATTTGAAGCACATCATGTTGTCCCATGCTGATTCATTGTACTATTTAGAGTGTCCCATAAAGTGTTCATGGGGGGTGGGTGGGTTCCATGTGGGCTGCTAAATGAAAGGTCGGAAACCCTGACCCCCCAACCCCTCGCGCTCGACTCCTGCCCAGAATTACAGTCTCAGTTCCACTCTGTCCTATAGGGTCACGATGAGTCGGTACTGACTCAATGTCAGTGAGGATCCCTTGAGTTAATTTAGAACCATATATGTTTCTCTCTGTTTGGCTCTGCCAGTCAACATCTTTCCATAATTTACCAAAAACACATTATTCATCTACCTCGTGCAAGATGTCTTCAGTTTTGAGTGATTTGTACGGACCCGCTGTCACTGAGCTGGGTGGTTCTAACTCATAGTGACCATGTAGGGCAGAGTCGAACTGCTACCTAGGATTTCCGAGGCTGTGAGTCTGTAGAAGCAGGAATCCCAATCTTTCTCCCATGGAGCAGACTTGGGTTCACACTGCTGACCTCTCACTTGGTGGTCCAATTAGTAGCCAACACTATCACCAGGGCCCCATCCATGTTATCACCAGGTTAAAATACGATAAACCCAAAGCAACCCAAAATCACTGCCATCCAGTTGATGCTGACTCCTAGTGACCCTATAGAACAGGGTAGAACTGCCTACGTGGGTTTCCAAGATCTAACTCTGTGGGTTGCGACCCCTTTGGGGGTTGAACGACCCTGAGGAACTGTATTAAAGAATCGTGGCATTAGGAAGGTTGAGAAACACTGCTTTACAGGAATAGGAACCTCGTCTTTCTCCCTCTGGGTGACTAGTGGTTTCAAACTGCCAACTTCGCAGTAACCATTTATTGAGCTCTATGGTACTGTCAGTAAGTGATGCACTGCTGACTATAGAATCTACAGTTCAAACCCACTAGCCATTCTCAATTCCATTGGAGAAAAGTGAAGCTGTAAAAATTGATAGCATGAGCAAACCAATGAGTCGGCATCAACTCGATAGCCAGGGCATCGTGTTTGTGTTTAAAAGTACCTTGCAAAGACCCCAATTGTGTCATTCAAGAGAATAATAAAGGCAATGTTCTTCCATTGGTAAGTATTTCTAATATAGAGTACCAAAATTCCTTAAGGAATGTATCCTGATGCTGAGGAAGTTCTTCTCAAGGCAAGCTATTTGCTAAGTAAATGTCTGTGCCTTTGAGTTAGAGTTGACTGGAAATAAGAATGGGGAATTGGCATCATAAAATGTAATTAGTCTAATTATTCAATTGCTCAGTAACTGGTTAGGAAAATCCATGGAGCAGGCAGTAGCTGTACCAATGGCTTCAACCTTGAAGGTGGGCAAGACTTGGCCAGTGTTTCTTCCTGTTGGGGTTGCTGTGAGTAGAGGATCCGCTTGGCGGCATGTCAGTCAACGATCAGACAATAATTGCCACAATGAGACACAGTGTTGTCCGAGTAGTACATAGATCATAAAGACCCACCCCAACTCTTGACTGTTAGCATCATTTAGGACAGTGATTCCCACTGACTGAAGGAAATCATGCTGTTCTTTGAAAAACAGCCTGTGTTAAATTGAAAATAACTACACAGATAAGTAAGTTTTGTGTTGGTGTAGTCATAGATGGTAGTACTCACATATGCCAGTATCAGTTAGGGATGGCAAGAGCCAAGCATGGCAGAAAAAAATAAAGTTGATTCGTTGTCACATTTGCCCCCTCTTGTTTCAGTAATTGAGAAAAGCCTGCTATTATCTGACGTTGGCATGCCATCTTGGCACCACCAGGGAACACTGTTCTTGGCTCCTGCAATTGGCAAGAAAAATGCGCCTGGGCGTAGGGCTTTGGCCAGAAACAGGGGTCTGACCCTTTGTTTTACCATCATTTTAAAACGTTTGCTTCTGCCAAGACCAGAGGAGCTTCACAGTCCAGAGACCCCTGATCAGTTAGTTAGCCTCCCCTGGGTTCCAGCTGCCCTTTCCTTTGTGTTTAAACAATAGAGGGTGGAGTGGAGTAGGGTGGGGGCCAGAGAGCTCTCTAAGGCCAAAGAGATCAAAGTCTACCTTAGCTACTGAACAGAAAAAAGATCCTAGAATAGAAAC